ACATTGTTGGGGCTGCAGATGCAGTTGAATGGTTCATAATTATAGTCTAAAGAAACTGCAGACAGTAATAGAGCCAACCCAGACCCTTTTTCTTCTTATAGCCCATGCCAAGCTGTCTCCCACAGAGAATGACAGTGTGGTTATCCTGCAATGTACTTGCCTTGAGACAAATTTCTACTGCATAGAATATTGCTGGATTTCTACAAATTGAGTCTGATCATCTATCTGATCTGTTGTATGTGGGATCTTGCTCTGTGTCTCAAGAATATCTGGAACAGACCAAGTGAGTGTCCTTGCCTTGTTTTGTCAAGGTGATATCTGTAAATTTCCCCCAGAGATGCCATGGAGAGAACAGCAATTGAGGAACCCCGCTGTGATCCCTACACTACCTTCCTCAGGTGGAACCTGAGCAGGGTTGATTTAATCCCTGGTAAACTAGGAGGGCTGCACTTGGAGACCATTAATAGGCTTCCATCTCCCTTGATCATGTGATAAATGAAGACCTAAGTTTTGTCTCCAAAGAGGCACCACTAATATGATTTTTCAGAATTTGAACTATAGTTTTCTTATAATTCTTTAAAAACAAATACAAATACATTTTCTTTTCCAATTAGGCAGTGTTGGAATTTCTCAAGTGGGTCCAAAGCTGGATACTTCCCAACTGAAGAACCGAGGAAGGGGCTTGAAGAGTTATTTAAATTAAGTGTGATAGTTAGCTCCATCTCTCCTTGGAGACAGTTCAGGTAAATTGAGGGTCCAAGCTCTTCTGTAAAGAGATATTCAAAGAGGAAGATTTAAAATGATTTCTTACATACTGTAGCTTACACTGGATCTTAAAAACAATAATTCTCTGATATTAATTGAATACTTTTACTTATTCAGACATTGAACTAAAGGCTTTGCATACATTATCTCATTTAAGCCCCCAAACAGCTTTAAAAGGTGGGTAATATTTAGAAACAGAGGAATGGAGTTTCATGATTAAGTGGCTAATCTGTGGTAGGTAATTCAGCTGATTAGTTGGTGGAGTTGGAATCTGAACCCGAGTCTTATTCTGGAGCCCACATTACTCCCTATGATCTCTGTTTTATTAGAGGGAGAGATTTCTAGGGCACAAGGGCCCCCAACACTTCCCCTCCCTCCTCTCTTTCTCCCTCCTAACTGCAGTTCTTATCACCCATTGTTTATTGTACCTTCCAAACAATAGCTAATGACTCTGTATTACATGCTAGGGAACCAGGGGTGATTTTATTCCCTGAAGCAGAGAAGAGGTTGTGACACAAAAAGGTTAAGTGGCACTGGGTGAGGTCACAGTGCCAACAAGCAGTCAGCAATACCACCTCTGAGTCCAAGCCTTGGGTTCCTGAACTGACCCTAAGGACTTTTGGAATCTGAGTTTAATTAAGAGAGTTACTTTAATTTTCCTTCCTATCTCTGACTTTCCATTTTATTGCTGCTTGATAATGGTAGATATTGAAGCCCCAGGCATTTTTCTTTTTCAGTGTGCTTTTTAAATGACTGAACTTATCACATAGAAACCACTTGCTTTAGAGTTAATCTTTCGAAGCTTTTTTCTGAGTATGCCAGGGACAGTTGCCTTTTCTCAGACAAAAAAGGAGACCACAAATGCAGCTCAAACAGGTTGTTAATTGAGAGCTTGAGAACTTTTTTTTTTTTTCAAATCTTACATTTATACCAGTAAATCAACATCTGTGAGTCATAAACTCACTCTGAATCAGCCGTTAGTGGTCTGAATGTTTTTGTACCTACCTTCAGTAAAGTATATTTTAGCTCAAAACCCAATGATTCTTTATTTTGTTGAAGTTTAAGATTTAGGAGCAGACAACAATCTAGCTCACTTTGGGAGAGGAAGGAGGAGTCTTCCATGATTGTTTGAAATTAGTTGTATTTTTAGATTTTTTTTTTCATTGAGATTGGGGTGAAACTGACGGAGGAGTAACAAATAAAGGAGAAAGTTTGTGTTTTACACACTCCATATGTTGAAAGAATTCCTATATAATACTGACATATTTTGGACATCATTCATGTCTAGCTCCATACTCCTTGTCCCCCAATTCCTGCAACCTTTTCTTGACCTTTTTTGACTTGATGTTCCCAGTTTAAGGAGATTCAGCACTTGGTTGGATGTACATAGCTAAAGCCTAAGGAATGTTTAAAACTACAAATCTGTTTTCTCCCTAGTGTGGAAGGAACAGACTACTGAGTTACAAGCAAAACCAAATAAGTTATTTGTTTGATTTTTTTTCTGAGTGTCTTAAAAATCGGTAGATAGAGTCTTGAAATATCTTGCTCAAATAAATGGAAGGCAAGGCGTGGCTGCTCTCATTTTGCTGGTGGGGAAACTGAAGCACGTGTGAACCTCACTGGACATGGGTGTTGGGAATAGAGTTCTGCTTTGTCAAGAGGGCAGAGTTGCTGACATCTTTTAATCCATCTTCTCAAGCCATAGCATATCAAACTCAATCTGTGAATTAGGAAGAATTGGTGGCAGAGTAGAAGTCCATAGTGAGAAAAAAAAAAAGTTCAACATATATTTAGGCACTGGGCTGTGCATTATTTTTATTACGATAAGATGAAAATGTCATTTTAATTCCATAAGAACATTTAAAAAAATCAACTTGTGTCCTAAAGAGAATAAACATTTTCATATATCAAAATTGATTAATCAAGCATGACACAGACCTTGATTGGATTGTGTCAAATATATAAAAATATTTTAACCTGACTTTATTAGTGATTCTTATCCTAAGGAAAGTGCAACAAGATCCAAGATAACATGAAGCTTCATGTAGAAGAAACTTTCCTGGAGGTCTTTTGTGGCCCCTGGCTCTCTCATTTGCTCAACCTCATTCTCTGATTTGGACTCAAACATTTTAAGCTTCTGTGTTTAGGGACTAGGATAGAAACAGGATGATTGACTAGTTGATTTGTCATTGTCAAAGAACTGGAAGGAATACATTTTCTCATTGCTAGAATGAAAAGTGTTTACAGTTGAATCAGAGCAGGCTTTTTAGAGTCTCACATTGGTGGGGGTTAGGAATTGTGTTTAAGCTAACTTAGGGAAGAAAGTGCAGGAGCAAACTGGGGAAGGAAGAAAGAAAGGAGCTGTTCAGAGAAGCTGAATTTGCAAATAGAGAAGTACTCCCACTTGGATTTTAAAAGAATAGCATTTTCTTAGGACAGCACCAACCAAACAAATTACCAAAACAACTCTTTATTTGCTCAGTCCATATACTAATGTTCCAGTCAATAAGGCTGGACTGGTTTGAGATCGTTTTCTTTGCTGCTCATTTGGGTGTGTGAATGTACAATCCATTCATCAGCTGTTTCCCTAAGCTTTTCCCAGGATCAGAAGTGTCTGTTCTTGTCATCTGGAGGCCAGCATTGTTTTCTCATACCTACTGGAAACACAGCTGGATTCCAACAGTCTTTGTTCTTTCAAAAATTAGGATGATCACATTCAACCCTTTTCCTCTGGTCACTGAAGAAAGAAGTATAATCTGGAGGTTGGACCAAGAGCCAGAGATTTGCTTTCTATTCCTGGCTCCTTCCCTTATTTGCTGTGGGAAACCTGCAAGTTACCAATGCTCCAAGGAGACAAAACTGGTTTTAGATGCAGGTAAGCAGGTATGTTAAAATTTACCAGAGTTAGAGGTTACAGTTAAAGGCAAATGGTGAGAGCTCAACATATGTTTAGAAATTAGGAAACAGGATTAAAAATATCTTTTGCAGAGGTTTTTAGGGAGCTTTATGTTTAATCTTCTAATTAATCAAAGGTGGATATCAATGTTTGGCTCCAGCTATGTTATATGCTTCTATGTACTGGTTGTTTTGCTAATTAGGATCAACTATCTCCATTTATAATAAGTAATTATCAGTGGCAAACTGTGAATTATTCAGGTTAATATTGTGTTATCTGAGGGGCTGGGAGTTGTCAAACCTAACAGGGGCTGTGCATTGTGATTCTGTCATGGCTGCAAATGATACACTCCAGAAATTCAAACCAGAGTCTCTGCATTATCACTTTTTTGGCGGTGGTGGGAGGGCTGTCCTTTTTATCTAATAGAAGGGAATCTGTGAAAGGAAAGACAAAACTTTAGCCAACGGTGACATAATCAGAGGAACAGAATAATTAGAAAGAAACTACAGCTTCCACTTCTACCCGCCTACTGTGTAGGTAAAATTGAATGTTTCAGGAAGACCAAGACTGGGTTCCAGTTTGGGCCCCCTACTATGTACTCCCCCACAAATACAGGTTCATTTGGGTCTGCATGTTGGGGTTTAATTTAGGCTTGGTTCTGCCCAAGGCCAGTGAAGCAAGATTTCTGTTTAGTGACGCTGTCCCTATCATTTACCATTCCACGGGTGGGCTCTGAAAAGCTAAAGGCTCCCCTTTGGAAACAGGCCTGGTTCCTGACTCATGATCCGGCTGGAGTCCAATATTGAGAAAACCCTCTGAGGACACCAGTTCATGAATCTCCTGCGCCTGCCCGCACGCTCGCCCCTTCATCCACATGCCTCACGTCCTGTGTGTCAGTCTTGGTGAATGAATGATGTACACGCACTTGGAAAACTATGCTGCTACCAGGAGGGGGTTAGCAGCGGGTGACCAAGCTCTCAAGAATGCGTGGAGAATCAGACCGACTTTCCCCAAAACGGTCGAAGCAGCCACTGCTCCTGGATACGTCTTCCCTCCGACCGTGGGTTCCGCGGCCCTTGCACTGCGCGCTTAGCTGCTGGGTGGCTGGGCCCTGCGCGCCGCGCGCCCGCGCTTCCTTTCACTTTGGGCTTCTGGCGCCGATTGGCCGCGGGTTCCGGCCCGGCGCCGCCCCCTCCCTCGGTGCCCCGCCCCTGGCTCCCTCCCGCTTGGTTCTCCTTGGCCCGGGCGGGCGGACGCTGGGGCTCTGAGCTGCAGGAACGCCCTAAAGAGGAGGGGAGAGCGCTGTAGGGAGAGTGGGGGGGGAGATCGCGGCTGGAGAGAGCGAACTGTAGCAGCGCCGGCGCGGGCGGAGAGGAGGGAGCCGGGCTAGGGACGCGAAGGAGGGAGAGGGCGAGGCGAGGCTGGGACCCTAAAGCACTCACTTTTCCGCAAAGTGCCAACTTCACGGGAGACTGTGCCGGGCGCGCACCGTCCAGGCGCGGGGGAAAGTCAGCGGGAATTTGAGTGTTTGGGGGAAGAAAGTCGGATTTCCCCCATCCCCTTTCCCCTGTTAAGAATCCCTATTAAAAAGAAAAACAACAACAGTAGCAGCAAACTTGCTATCATCCCGTCTGTCCCCCACTCCTGGCACCATGAAGGCGGCCGTCGATCTCAAACCGACTCTAACCATCATCAAGACAGAAAAAGTCGATCTGGAGCTTTTCCCCTCCCCTGGTGAGTGGTGACTGCCGAGGCCCCCACCCAGCTTCGGGGGTCTCCTCCACTTCTGTGCTTCTTCAATACTCCCTTCCGGGGCCGTGCGTTTCTGCCGGAGCAGGGGATGCTATTGGCAGCTGGAGAGAGGGAGAATAGAGGAGGAAGGCTGTTGGTGGCCCAAGACCCTTGATTTGGGTGGTGGTATTTATTTTCATAGCTGCGTTTTTGTGAGTAGTGGGAAAAACGCTTAGAGAATTTCCAGCGTCCACATTCTCCCGCCCCCCCCCCCATATAAGCGAAAGCCCTTTGGTATTTATTCCTTATGGTAATCGAGGGCTTAGACACCACCTCGGAGGACATCATCCCCAGACTCTTCGTCGCCCAGAATTGAAGCTGGTTGGAGCGCCCTAGGCAGTAAAAGCTGGCAGGGTGTCTAACGGGCTGGCCTTAGAACATATTTTCAAATAATGTCTTGCCTTCCTGAGCTCCCTTGTCACATGTCCCTGTACTCTCTAGCTCCTGTTTTCTAGGTTGAGGGCTAGGAGGCGGGAGGAGAACTGAAAGTATCCTCTTTGGAAAAGTCCAATCCTATTTACACAGGTTACTAACTTTACTCATGTCTCTCTTCTGCTGTGAATTTGTGCTCTAGTACCAAAGAAAGATCTTAGAAGAAGAAAAGTATCCCAACAAGAGATGGGACTTGTGACTTTGGTCCATGGTGTTGTCTAATTCTTTGATTTGTAAAGTTTTAAAGAAGACAGGGGTAGAAAAGAAGTATCATTTATGTCTTAGACACAAATTCTGGTGCTGAGCAGATGGAATCTAACTGTACAGGATTCCTGGAACTAATGCAGTTTGAGAGGGAATATGCTTTCTTTTAGGATGGGGAACTGCCAGCTATCCTTAAAGATTAGTGTCATAGAGGTGAAAGATATAGGGAGGAGGTAATACATTCTGGAAAATAATCATAGTATCATGCACCTCTGTTATGTCCGATTATCAATAAGTTTAGTTGATATCGCCTGCTTCTCTTTGCCTCTACCATAATTAGTTGCTTATTTTAACTCTTTCTTAATCTGCCTAAATTTTCAACACAAGCTAAGCTGATGTTCTGTCATTTAAGATCTTTCAGATCTTTAATAAAGACATTTAAGTCAGGTCCCCTAACATTCAACCCCAGGATTGCTTTGCATCAGGAAGGTTAATCTTGTTTCTTGTCACCAGGATGATGGTCAGAATACTGAAAACCACTATAGCCAAGGAGACATTGCAGACTTAGAGTTACAATTCAGAAATGATGCTTTATAATGGTTGCATTTGGGGAGGGGGGTCAGGGAAGCCAGAGTAAGTTTGGTTTGTCACAATTGATCCAAACCATATATAGAAGTAGAAAGATAGTTCACAACAAAGACATAAACTGAACTAATAGGTCCTTTCCTTAAGAATGACTTGTTTATATGTGTTGTTATGTGTGTTTATGGAGAAGAGACAGATTTGGTCATCTGGGAAATGTCATGTAGCTATGTCAGTTCACATACCTACAATGGACCTTTCGTGCTGGTAATGAACAAGGGCCCCTGCAAACACATGTTTTAGATCACAGTAAACAGCTGAAGCATGTTTTTTGGTAATTTAATACTGAATCTTAGAGATTTAAAGTACATGGTACAATTATTTTAGATAATGTGAATGCTGTATAAGTAACTTTATTTAACTTCCCCATCTGTAAAATGGGGACAGTAAAGGCTATCGCTACAGTCAACATCCATTATAGTAAGCACCTTTACAATGGATTTCTTGCCAGAGAGTAGGCTGTGTAAGTCACTTTACAACAAAATTTTAACTGGTCAAAGAAATCTGGCAGTCTTCTGACTTTATTATATTAAGGTTTGATTTCTAGCACTTTCTTGGGGAAACTAAATAAAGAAACTTGAAAATAAATATAGAATATAATAACTAATTTTTATCTAACTTTTCCCCTGGACTTTAATTGCTTATATGTAAATATTATGTCCATGTCTTAGAGAGGGAAATAGAGGCTCAAAAAAGGTAAGTAACTTGTGTAATGATATTCAGAAAGCCAGTAGGCAAAGCAAAATTAATCCCAGTTTCCAACTTCTTAGTGTACATTATCATGACTAATATTATAAGTTACCATTGAAGAGCTTAACAAGAAGCTTCCATTAAGACCTAAACTTGCAGGTGCAAAGATGGACGAAACTTGACCAGGGCTGCCTGCTTTTGTCAGTGCAAGGACAAGACATTGACTGAGTGGAGGTTTTCCTTGCCCATCAGACCATATAGAACATGTGTTTAAAGTTTAACTGCTCACAGCATGACTTTGTGTCCACAGCTGTGACTTAAATATTTGTCAGAATGGTTTCTTTGGGTTGCTCCACTTCTTATGTGTGGGGACCACTAGTGTGGGATCTTTTCTGGCTTCAGTGATTAAGCCAGAATTTCCTTTCTGCCCATTACCAAATCTATGAGAGCCCAAGATTGGCAATAGGGAGGCAGGGTATCTGAACAGGAGTCAAAAGGCCTAGAATATTTACCTCCTTTTTTTTTTTTTTGACTATGTTAAGTACCAAATTAACATACACTTTGAAATAACATTGGCTTTAAGTTCCCCTCATAAGTGTAAAGTAGGATATACTGTTGAATTGCACCATTCTCAGGTCTTAAATAGGCTAAAACCAAACATAGCCATTGAGTTGTTCCTGGTTCTTTCTTGGTGTGCAGTCCGCTGAGAAGGGGTTGAGGACACCAAGACTGTGTGCCAAAGCAAACACATTCCCAAGCCACTTAATTTTTCCTCTCCTTCCCCATTCCACTCCACCTTCTTAGTGAGGTGAGCCTAGTTCCAGATAAGAGTTCTAATTCTGGATTTTTGCCCATTTATAGGAATGAAAGGACCAGCCCCAATGCCTTTTCTACACAGGAAAGAGAGTATCTGTCCAGTGGGGAGGCTTTTATTGTTCTAAGAGGTAGGAAGAAGCTTTGTCCTTTCCCAGTATGGACAGTCTTTGTATCTTCATCAGTGTAGACAGAAGAGCAGAGCTACCAGGGCTATTAGGATTACTTGAGCGCTTTGCTCCCAGGTCCCCACTGACCACACTCCATTAGTGATGAAAGAACCTAGTAGTTCAGAGCAGGGACTCTGGAGCCAGTCTGTCTGGGTGTGAATCCCACCTCATCCACTTAGGGGCTGTGTGACTTTCGGTAATTACTTAATCTCTCTGTGCTTCAGCTCCTGCACGTGTAAAATGAGTGTAATAATCATTCTATTTCATAGGGTTGACATGAGGTTTAAAACAATGAATATATGCAAAACTTAGCAGTGTCTGACTTGTAATAGATTCTTTTTAACTAGACAGCAGATTAACAAAAAAATGACCTCCACTGGTATAGAATGTATTATATACCTCTTTCAATATATTATTATTTGAGAGGCAAAGAGAGTAATGTTAAAGAAGACTTTATTGCCTACTTTATTGCTGAGATCTCATGCCAATGAAGCTTCTGTGCTCCAGAGAGCAAACACGGTGAGCAGGTAACTTCTAGAGTGTCTCCAGGTCTAGTTGTCACAATTAGAGGTCCAGGGGCTGGTCAGTTACTTTGGGAGATGGAGGTGTCAGTGTTGCCTCAAAGCAGGAAGTTCACCAAGTTTGGGGTCAAGGAGGACAGAATTGGTAGAAAAGTGGAGTTTTTCCATTATACAGGGTTGAGAAATGCAGCATGTCCAGTTATTATAAAACATCTCACATTTTATTTATTTATTTGGTTGGCAGAGCTTGCATTCCTGGCATTTTTGGTTGGTTTGTGTTGCGGGTATTTTTTTTTTTTTTTTGTCTGTGTAACATTTTTTTTCCCCTTAAAGAGGCCAGACCACCCTGGAGGAACATTGACTCCCTCTAGTAGACAAAGCAGCCCATGGTCAACTTCCTAAAGCCTGGCTGGCTCTGGCCTCCATCACCATCCCTGCAAAACCTCTGCAAAACAGGGCTGGTTAGTGTAGGTCAGGATTTTCCAGGAAAGAGAGTCTCCAAGTTTCAAAGAATATGGAAGGTTACTCTCCAGTGGCAGCAGTGACAGTATATAGACATCTCTGTTTGCAGAAAGAATAACCCGCGGCTATGGTACCCTTCTCTGAGCTTGCCTTGAAGTTGGATTCTTGCCTTTCCAGAGTCACTGTTATGCTTCACATTTACTTTGGGATGAGGGAGATATTATTTTCTGCTCTTTTTTTCAGATGAAGAAAATGATATTCAGAGAGGTGCATATTTTGTGTAAGGCCATACTTTAGAAACTTACAAACTGATGAAGTGTTGTAGGCATTTTGTTCCTAAAGTAAAAGTGCCACCTTATTCTCAGGAACTCTGGAAATTAAAACATGGGTGTTATGAGAAGGCAGTGCAAGTTGGTGCTTTGGGGGTTCAGGTGGTTTGGGGTTTCAGGGAGTACAAGGGTTTCTCTGCCATCTCTGCAGTCAGGTGGCTTCATTGTTACCTGAGTGCTCCAGACTGCTTGGGGAAAGGGTGTCCCCAGGCCTGGCCATCCAGATGTGTTGCTTCAGGAAGATAATTAAATGTTCCAGCAACACTGACCTCAGATGGTTGAGGAGAGAACTAGGGTTCTTGTGTTTTCAATGTCTTCCAGATGTCCTTGTCTGGCTTGCAGGTGGGAAGGTGGTTATGTTCGTTTGCAAGATCAATCTTTCCCTCACCCTCCAGATTCTGCCCATTTTTTCCTCCTCTATGGGCCATGCTGGTTTGCTCACAATTGAATGATGAAACCAGCACACGCTTCATTTTCTTAAGATAGCTGAAGTTTAATTTCCCTGCTCAGAAAGAGGCAGTGGGAGTTGAATTTGCTGTCCAAACAGCAAATAGATTTCATTTCCCCCCTAAGATAATTTTTTAAAGTCCATTTTGAGTGTCAGTGCATGTGGTTTGGAGTTGTCAAGGTGTTCCTTTCTTAGGAAGAGAAGTCCCCAGATTCTACCTGCAGACCTGCCA